GTCTCAGCGCACAAAAAAGACATCAAACTTGTCATGGGTGACTTTAACGGGAAAATCGGCAATAATAATAACAACCTCGATGAAATAATGGGTCGCCATGGACTTGGAGAAGCACGCAATAACAACGGCGAGCGATTAATTGATCTCTGCATGGCCAACCGACTTTTCATCGGCAGCACGCGATTCCCGCACAAGGACATTCATAAATATACCTGGCAAGCACCAGACGGAGTAACACGTAACCAGATCGACCACGTGCTAATTGACAAGAAACACCTGAAGTCTCTTCTAGATGTTCGAACAATGCGTAGTGCGGACATGTATAGCGACCATAAGCTAGTCGTGGCAAAAATACGCATAAGAACAATGAATATAATAACAACAAGAACAAAACAAAAGAAATTTAATATCGAAAAATTCAAGAATAAAGGCGAACGTCGGAACTTCTGTGAAACTGTAACAGCCAAAGTTAATAATATCAGTCCTACAATAAGTGCGAAGGAAAAATGGGAATTAGTGCAAAAAGCATACGTAGAATCCGCAAATGAAGTCATCGGGATCAAAAACAGTACCCGTAAAATGTGGATCACGAATGAAACCTGGGAATTAATCGAACAAAGAAGAACATTAAATCAGCAACTAAACCAGGTCCGAAGTGATGTAACCCTTGCAAGATATAACAACATAGAAAAACAAATTAAGAAAATGGCAAGAAGAGATCGTCGTAAATTCGAAGAAAACATCATCAATGACGCTGAAGTGGCGGCGGAACAAAAGGACGTGCGCAAAACATACCAATGTATCAGGAGGATCACCGGCCATTTTACAAGCATTCCACAAATTAAGAACAGCGATGGCCATATTCTCACTACGGAACAACAACAACTTAATCGATGGGTAGAATTCTTTAAACACGACGACCCAACAATAGATAACTGCGACATAGACTATACAACATCATCTCGTATCAGCACAAAGTCACCATCAGTTGCTGAAATCAGATTAGCAATAAAGAAACTCAAGAACAACAAAGCCGCAGGTAGTGACGGCATCGCACCGGAATTACTTAAAACTGATCCATCATTTGCGGCGGAAACACTTGCCCCCATTATAACAGAAGTATGGGACACAGGCAGCATCCCGGCGAAATGGAAACAAGGAATAATCATCACAATTCCAAAGAAAGGTGATCTCCGTGAATGTAAGAACTGGCGAGGAATAACCCTACTGAATACAATTACGAAGATTCTAGCGTCAATCATCCGCGAGAGAATGACAGCGCACGTCAATGAAAAATTGAGAAAAGAACAAGCAGGATTCCGCCCGGGACACAGCTGCATAGATCATATAAGCAGCCTTCGAATTATAGTGGAGCAAGCAGCAGAATTCAACTCACCACTGTATCTGACTTTCGTGGACTTTGAAAGAGCATTTGACACCGTGACTTGGCCGGCTATATGGAAAACACTAGAAAAATTTGGAATACCAGCCCAAATAACAAGATTAATAAAAGAATTATATGATAACGCGGAATGCGGTGTTCTCTTCAAAGGAAAACTGAGCCCCTCCTTCCAAATCAGAAGAGGTGTACGCCAAGGCTGCATTCTATCACCGATGCTATTCTTAATGGTACTGGATACGGTGATGGAAAAATGCAATCAAGAAACAACAGGCGGAATACAGTGGCTGCTGACTCGCCGACTTGACGATCTCGACTATGCGGACGACATCGTGTTACTATCTCATACACACAAAGATGCACAGGGGAGAATTTCAGCACTTCAAAGATACGCTGCAGAAGTTGGACTAAAGATCAATACCAACAAAACAAAAATAATGCGTATTGGAACAAACATAAGCACACCTATTTCCATTGAAGGACGCACAATCGAAGAAGTCGACGACTTTGTATACCTTGGTTGCGTAATTGCCAAAGACGGAGGAACCAACATCGATGTTAGCAAAAGAATAAACAAGGCCCGAAAAGCCTTCTTCAGACTTAATAAAATATGGAGAAGCTCAAAGATGTCTAACATACATAAGCTTCGTTTATTCAATGCTTGCATCAAATCTGTGCTGCTATACGGTTGCGAGACCTGGAAAAACACAGATGGACTGATAAACAAACTTCAGGTCTTCGTGAACAAATGTCTGCGACGAATTCTGAGACTGTTCTGGCCAAACTTGCCAACTAATGAAGAACTACTGCGCGCCTCCAAGCAAGAAAAAATAGGCACTGAAATCCGCCGCAGAAAATGGAAATGGATCGGCCATACTCTAAGAAAAGATCCGCATAACATAGCTCGCATGGCTATGGAATACAATCCGCAAGGAAAGCGCAAAAGAGGG